CGAGGCGTTAGGTGCGATAGTATGTGCCAGTAAAATCAGATGAGCGCGTTCAGGTGCAAGTGCACGATGTGTGGCAGACTGGGCAAGTTGGTGCGTCATGCGTGCGCGGCGGACAACATTGTGGAGAAGGCTTGCGTCAGGCGCAGGAACACGCGCACATTAGGTAAGATGAGCGTGTTGAGGTGCAAGGGGGATACGTGCGCAAGAGTGGGCAAAACCGCGTGTAATGCTTGTAAGGCTCACAATAACAGAGAGGAGAAGGCATGACCGTGAGGCGGAAAAATGTGCATCTAGGTAATACGAGCGTGGCCAGGTGCAGGTGGTACACGCGTGGAGCCGGGCAAAACCGTGAGTAATGCTGGTAAGTGTAATACAAAGACTTTCTTCATTCCTTTCCAGTGTCGGTTCGAAGTTTTTGGTTGTTGACTATTTTGGTTGGCTTCAATATGAAGACTTGAGACTTCAACGGTGTCTCCACATGCAACGAAAGTTATTTGTTCCTTCCGCTTGTCTGCGAACAATATTATCATGAACTTCTAGACTACCCCCCCCGTACTACCCTAAGAGATTTTTAGATAGTAAATAAGAAAACGGGTTTGTATCCCCTGATTTTTTGGAAAATAAGTAGTAGCCTAATAAGGAAAATGGGGGGGGATACAAACCAAAAATAATTAGTATCCTAATAAGGATTGATTTTGGCATTTTGTATGATTCATTATTAGTATGCTAATAATGAAAAAAACCTTATTAGCATGCTAATAAGTTTTATACATTTTTTTTGCAAAAAAATATTAGGATCCTAATAAGGATTTTTCGCATTAATAGATGCCTAATAAGATTTTATACAAAATTGGCGGGCTATGATTTTTGTATGAAAGATGAGTAGGTTCCTAATAAGGAAGTGTTACATTAACAGATGCCTAATAAGATTTTTTACAATATTGTGGATATCAACTTTTTGGTGAATCCTTATTAGTATGTCTATGCTTGTAGGTTGGTTTATTGACTAGTTTTTGAAATCTAACGGGATTATCAACTAATTCAAAATAAACGTGCTTTCTTACATTCTCCATTGTTTTACCAAATACACTGTTAATCACTAACTTAAACAAATCTTTTTCAAACTCAGTTTTAGCATTCTTTCTCTTTTCAGTGTTGAAGTCAATGTATGGTTTTAAAAAGTCTGCTTGCTTAAAACTAATTACCCTATGAATTTTCTTAAGTTTTAGGCCGTGCCGTAAGTAAAACTTTAAAGTTGATACACACCCCGCTAAAAAAGTAGATGGCTCACCTTGAAAACCAAAATACCCATAAGATGGCACCGCGGGGTGAGAAAGAAAACGGCGCTATTTCAGCTGGAACATAAAACGATTTCCGCCAGTTGAAGAAACAAAACCGCCCTACTTTAAAATGAAAAGGTATATGGCGCAACTGTCGCTCCAGTAGGTGGACATAAGGGCATTGTTAACTAATTTTACTACATTTCCGATCATTTTTGCTTGTTTTTACTGTAGACTACACATGTTTGTATTGTAAATATTTAGATAGATAGATAGATAGATATATATATATATATGTACTTCCCCTAGATTTTTTATCCCAAAAATGAGTTGCGCCATCTATGTCCCTTAAATCTTTTAAAATTTCATGCCGGTGAATGCTTTCATTTTGTCTCCCCGTTGTTTCTCCCCAGGGCGGTGATCCCAATGCAACGAGTCGGGGTGAGCGTTTTGCGCCGACGCGCGCGCCCGCGTTGGTGAGCGTTTATGAAAACATCCCGTCTTGGGATAGCTCTGATGACTTCCAAATTAACCCAAAAATAGAAAGGTTGAAGAGATTTCCATAAAACACTCTCTAAATAGCCCCCTAATAAAGAATCCACAATTGCTCCTTATTAGAGGCCAATTAGGTTTTTGCACTTTCTTTGTATCCCCCAAGATCATGCTTGGATACAAAACCTTAATAGTGCCCTAATAATTATAGGGAGGACTGAGATTTTACCTTATTCGGTAACTATTAATTTTTTGTATCCCCAAAGACCTGGCTTGGATACAAACACTTAATAGTGCCCTAATAATGATTGAGAGGGATGAGATACAAACACTTTATTGGCTGGGTTCTTATGCAGAGCACTGAGTATATATATGGCTTGCGATTGTTTGATTGGAACTAATTTGCATTAGGTGATTGTCTTTTAGCTTCTTACGGTTCGAATGTTTAGTGAGGTCTTGACCGCCCTTAGTCCTATCTTGGGTTTGTGCCATAACACTCCTCGCTTAGCTGAAACCCTTTTGCTGATCCTGATCTCCTTTTTCATCGGATTTTGCTGTGGGGGCCTCGTGGTGGCTTTATTGATTTCTGCCCATTGCCGGGGGGCCGCTGCGCGATTGATTTGTTATCTCTTGGAGGGGGCAGATCGTGACTGGAGGCCTCGACTTGAGGCGGCTAGGCCACCTGATCGGTTGCAGCGATACCGTGCGTGAGAGATAGGTGGGTTAGGCTGCATCTTTGTTTGTGTCAGAAATCTTCAGAGTCGACATACAGTCCCCGGAAGGGGAGCGTGCATTTCAGCCATACCGACGACACTGAACGCCAGAGCTGGGAAGACATCTCCGAGTGGTTCAGCGAAGGTTTTAGATTTTTTGCCGCTACTCACCTTTCTCTTTTGCATACTCCTTTGCAAGTTGGTCTGTCCTGAGAACCTCTCTCCACTTTTGAAGCACAAGAACCCTTTGTGGAAGAAAGATGCCTCTGGGGGAGAGGGCATGTTTGGCCCTCAAGATTGTGAACAGCGAGAACCTTCCTGTAGACTTACTTGCGTTGAAGTGGCCTGCAGGAGGGGGCGACTGGTACCTAGCTTTGCCTCTGAGGGTATGCCCCACTGGAATCATTCTGGCTTTGCCCAAGAATGCCTTGTCGGAGGAAGAGCTGGATGCAGGGATGGAGGCTGCGGCGGATGCCTTGGTGGGCCCGAACCATGTTGTGCGAGTGAGCCTCGGCGACTCAGAAGTTGCGGAGGTGGAGGTGGTCATGGTGGAGTTCTCAATAGAGATTCGACAGCAGATGGAGCTCAGAACGGCCCGGAGCCGCAGGGTTTTGAAGGGATTCGCCGACAACATTCGGGAACTCCCGAACCTCACGGAGCTCAACGACCAAGTGGTGTCATGGTTGGAGACAGGTGCAGTGCGAGTAGAAGAGTACATGACAGCATTGGAAGTAGAGGAGGAGACGGGAGGTCTGAGCGACAAGCTATTGCAGGAGTTCCAAAATTTGCAGACTATGATGGACCGCCGCCTTCGTGTCATGGAAGGTCAGATACACGAATTGCAGACAAAACCTGCACATCCTCTGGGTGCAATGCCCAAGCAGCCAGGCGGCGGCTGGCCGCAAAAGAGCGGCGTGCGAGAAGATGTGATGGAGGATGCAATCAATGCTGCAAGAAGTGTGGTGCCGAAGAGGCCACCAAAGTTGGCCGACGAACCAGGAAAGGCTGCCGACACGGCCATCGACATGCCTGGCTTGGAAGACCTGGATGTGGGGGCCGGGGGCAGCAGTGCTTCCATGGACGATCTCATGAAGTTGCACATGCTCAAAATGCTGAAGGAGATGCAGCAGCCCAAGGGAAAATCAAAGAGCAAGAAGCTTCCCGGCCTCACATCTTGGGAAGATTCAGATTCCAGCCAGGAGGATGGCGCGACTTGGAGCAGCAACAGCAAAGGTGGGAGAGGCATAGAGGCAGTCGAGCGGGTGAGACACGCAATGAAGTCTCACCCCGAAGCATATCAAGAGCGCATGGAACTGAAGGCGGTGGATGCCACAGAGTTGGTACCCACCATCCCTCTTCAGTTTGTGAAAGGATCGCCAGTGGGCAAGTCCAGGACTGCAGGGTACTGTCTCCAAGGCTTTGCCGAGGTACACCGACTCTTGCTGGAGAACAAGCCGAAGCAAGCCAGATTGCATGTGCTCCGGATGATAGCAGCCTTGGAGCAGTTCTTGATCGACGAGTCCTGGGTGGTGGCAAGCAGGCTCATGTGTACCGAGGAACCACCTTGGGGGCATTGGGCGACTCAAGATGTGGCTGCAATTCGGCGCCAGTTGGTGTACAATCGTCTTTCCGAGAGCACCTGGATGGCTGCGCTGATCAACCAACTCAAAGAAGAGGAGTGGCTGACCAAGAAGCGTGCAAACCTGCAGCAGCCGAAGGGCAACAGCAAGGGCAAAGTCAGGGACAAGGACAAAGAGAAGGACGCAGAGGCGTGAGCCGCTCTAGATTTTTGAAATGGCAGAAGCAACCGCTAATTCGGGAATCCCCTGACCCCCCTCCTGGCTTTGATGTGTTGGGTTGGATGCAGGAGCTGGTGGATGCTGTTTTGAATTCAGATTTGATTGTGTGCCGTTACGTGAAAAGTACTTTTGCTTCTTCACGGGATTCCAAACCAAACAGCAAAGAAGCTGAACTTTTTCCCTGTCCTCCCCCTTACCCTTGGATTTCGGCCAAATGAGGCTACCCAAGGAGGTCGGCTCGAAGGGTGCAGCGTTGGAAAGTTCGTAGGTCAGTTGAGCTTTGGGTCAATTTCATGGTTTGCGGTTTGAGTCAGCAAGCGATTGGTTGTGGTGTTGCACCCGAGCGAGGGAGATGGGGGCCCCCCCTTAATAAAAACCAAATTTCAATGGTTGATTTTTTGGGGCGCTTAGCACGATCTGTTGTCCGCCTGGGCCCTGTGTCTGGTTGCGGCGCGCGACTTCCAGCAGCGCGAGACCATTATGGTCGCTTGCGCGAGCAATTAGAAGAATTAGTGCAGTTGCCATATGCATGTTCTACTCGTTTGTTTGCCCAGCAGTCAAATTCAGCTTTTGCTGCGACCAAGGCCTTGCCAGTGATAGCCGACAGACTTAGCTTGCCAGCGGAGGTTTGTGATTTTAATCCGGCCCCCTTTTTGTCACCTCTGTTTAGAAAGATTTATGAGGACCCTGATGCGTTTTTGAAGGAACCCCAAGATATGCCAGATCCTGTGAAGATCAAGGGGACTGCCACTCGTAGTGAGCTGCTGAAAGTGTTCCAGCGTTGGGACCACCTGCACCGGCTGTACGTGTGCAAGAGTTCCGAAGTTTCGGAGGAGGATAGATGTGAACTTTTTGCTGTTGCCAAGGATGTGGACAAAGATCGCCAAATCCTCCACCGCAAGCGGCGGAACCTCCGTGAAAAGCATGTGCCTGGGGCTTCAAGGGACTTACCGCATGGGGTACTTCTTTGCCAGCTTCCCTTGGAATCTTCTCATGTTGTTGCTTGTTCAGTTGATGATGTGAAGGATTTCTATCATGCCTATGAAGCGACTGAAGCTCGGGCAAAGAGTTCCCCAGTAGGTCCCCGCTTTCAATTCAGAGAGGTGGCCCATTTGAATGCTTGCCAAGCTGCTTTGGCAGAGGGTCGAATTAGGCCGACGGACTCACTGGTTTGTTGTTTCAGAGGTTTGGGTATGGGGGATCATGCTGCGGTTGACATTGCCCAAGAAAGTCATGTTAATGTTTTGAGATCTTTTGGGGGTATGAGGGATAGTGAAACCCTGAACTATAGGAAGCCCTTGCCTTTAACCCAAACTGGTTTTTATGAAGGGGTTATGATTGATGACCATTTGGGACTTCAGTTACTCCCCCGTAGAAATTCCCGAAAGAGAACTTTGAGTCAGCCTGGTAGGGATCAGGAAGCTTTTCAAGAAGCTGACAAAGCTTATGAGGCAGTTGGCTTGCAAGCACACCCAAAGAAGAAACAGAGGAGGACTTTTCACACTCAAGTTTTGGGAGCGGAGATTGAGGGTGAACAGGGTTTGGTGGGGCCTAGTCGAGGTAGGCTCTTGCAATTGGCAAGGATCTCTGCGGAAGTTGCTGTGCTGGGCATCGGCGATGAGAAAATAGTAGAAGCCCTGACGGGCCTTTGGGCCTATTGTGCCCAGTACAGACGACCTATGTTTAGCTTCATGCATGCTGTTTACCACCAACGGGGGCCTGAGTCGGGGGAAACCCTTTTTAAAATTACTCGTGATGCCCGTAATGAATTCATGATCCTAGCTATGTTGGCCCCCTTATGCTTAAATGATCTTACGGTTCACCCTGACCCTTTTTTATATTGTGTTGATGCTTCTCCTTCTGGGGCTGGTTGTTGCAGGGTTGAAGTTGGGGAGAATGTTTCTCGTCAAATTTGGCGTAGGGGGGACAAGCTAGGATATCATCGGATGCCGCTTTTGAGCCGGCTCGGAGCCGCACTGAAAGGAGCGGGCTGGGATGAAGATGCGGTGCATGATTTTCTTTCTGAGGGGGAAGACCCTCGCGAAGACGGGGGCTTTCCGCCTATTTCCGGCCTTGAGGCTTCCAAGGATTGGATTCAGCTTTTCTTACAGAAAGCAGTTGCGCAGGGTTGGAGCCCTGGTTTTCCTCAGCAGCTGGAAGAAGCTAGTTTCGATTTTTTGGAAATGTATTCAGGGCGTGCTGACATGAGTCGAGCCTGGAAAGAGCAGGGTTTCAGGGTCTTACCGCCGTTAGATTTGAGGCAAGGATGGGACCTTAGGGATGCTGGCCTTTTTTGGGGAATATTAGGATTGGTTGCTAGGGGGCGTATTAAATTTGTTTGGTGGACCCCTCCTTGCAACACTTTTTCCTTGGCCAGGAGCCCTAAGGTTCGGTCCTTGAAACAACCTTGGGGGTATGATCCTATGAACTGGTTGACCATGTTGGGAAATTTACACGCCGCCCAAAGTTTGTTGATTGCGTTGGTTCAATTATTGGTTGGGGGATTTTTTGGAGGGGCGCAACCTGGTTTTGGGTTTATGCGCGCGTTGGATCCTTGGAAGTTTCTTACTGAAGTTTTGAGGGTCCCTGAATTCTTGTTTGATTGGTGTAGGTATGGATGCCCTTTCAAAAAGACCACCAGGGTGATGTGTAACTTTCCTGGAATTAATAAATTGCAGAGAAGATGCCACCACAAGAAACGGCATGTGCCCTTTAGAGGACCTTGGACCACGACTTTTGGGCTTGGGGGTTATTCTTCCCGTTTTTGTAGGGTGGTTGCTTCCCATTGTTGGAATGAATGGCCTAAGGGGAATTGTAGAAATAAGTCCGAAGTTGGTAACGTGACCAAGTTCCCCCCTTTTTTGGATAGGGAGCTTCCCCTTAAATCCCGCAAACCGGCTTCTCCGCTGTGGGCGGTGCAGTTGTCTGAGTCCTTGTGTTGGAAACCCTTCATGCAATACTCGTTCAAACACTTGGCCCACATTAATTTGCAGGAAACTAAGGCTAGACGGTCTTTAGTGAAGCGTCTTAAGAGAGACCAGCGTGTTGTCGTGTTTCAGGATAGTAGGGTTAATTTGGGTTCTTTGGGAAAAGGGCGAAGCCCGTCCACTAGTTTGAATGGTTTAATGCATCAAGAAGCCCCTTATCTTTTGGGAAAGAACTTATATTTAGCCGGCGTGCACCTGCCAACATGGAGTATTAGAGCTGACGGCCCAAGCCGCCACCGACCAGTTGACCCGCCTAGGATCGCTGTCCCGTCATGGTTTTGGTGCCTGCGGAAGCAGCCAACTCCCACCACTGATTTTCTGGCGGATTTGGAAGGCCGACCTAGGGCTCATGCGCGTTGGGCTGTGTTGGTTGGCCGTCTTTTGCTGGCTATCAGTGGCGATTGCGCCCCGCCCTTCAGCTGGAGCTCGCAACAGGGACCAACTGTTGAGAGGACGCATCACCGAAAAAACAAGAGTGTTTCGGCAAGACTTGCTCCACAAGCTAGTTCAGTGGCTGACGCCGCACCTTGGGGAGTGCAGTCTGGACACTTTGGCCAGGAAGCACATCGACATTTTGTCGGAATACTTAGAAGAGTATATCTTGCATTTGTACGTGTCGGGACAATCCAGACTGGCTGCAGCCGAGACGCTGAATGCTATAGTTCAGACTTATGGATGGCTGAGGCCATCTCTTGCAGGGCCTTGGGGGCTGATCAGATCCTGGGAACACCAGGAGCCACCTACGCATAATCCTCCCATTCCAGTACAAGTTCTGCGTGCCCTTGTGGCTTGTGCTCTGGCCTGGCATTGGCCCAAGCTGGCGGTGACGTTGGCGCTTGGCTTTTTTGCTTTGTTGAGACCAGCAGAATGTATTGGACTGCGGCGGCAAGACTTGGCTTTACCAGAAGACCATCTAGAAGGAGATGTTCTCTACGTGCGCATCGGGGCCCCAAAGACCCGGTTTCGCACATCCCAGAACCAGCACGTCCGAGTGGACGAACCCGGCTTGGCGCATTGGATTGCATGGATCCTACGCTACACGCCGATGTGGCAGCGTATCTGGCGCGGCTCCTTGTCGAGCTTTTCAGAACTCGATACGAGCTTCTGCAGAAACACGTGCTCCACAAAGTGCCGTTCCTTCCTTCGTCCTTGCGCCCGGGAGGAGCAACCTATTTGTTTAGGTTGTTCCACGAGGACCTTGTTAAGCTACAGTGGAGGGGCCGTTGGCGTTCCTTTCGCCTTCTGGAAATATATGTGCAAGAACTCGGAGCTGCTCAGGTGTGGATCCGGTTTGACTCGAAAACAAGGCAAGGAGTTTTGTTTTTGGGGAATTGTTTTCTTACTGTTTTGCATGCTTGTCGGCCTGTAGGATTGCCGTAGTGTCATTAGGCCCGATCCCATCCCCCCCGTAATGGGCAAGTTGGGGAGAACCTTGGTTTTTTGTTTGCATGGCTGGATGACATGGTCAGATGAAGACCTTTTTTCCAGCGGCTGGATGACAGGGTCAAATGAAGACCTTCTTCCAGTGACAGTCTGATGCCAGACTGACCTATACAGTTGAATCGGAATCCTGGTGACACAGTCAAAATAGTTGCGATTTGACAAGCGCCGTGGCGAAGTTTGAGTCAATGCAACGGGTGACAGGCCAACAATGGCTTGCGATTGTTTGATTGGAACTAATTTGCATTAGGTGATTGTCTTTTAGCTTCTTACGGCCACCTCCGCCCCTACCGCCGAACCTTGGTTTTTTGTTTGCATGGCTGGATGACATGGTCAGATGAAGACCTTTTTTCCAGCGGCTGGATGACAGGGTCAAATGAAGACCTTCTTCCAGTGACAGTCTGATGCCAGACTGACCTATACAGTTGAATCGGAATCCTGGTGACACAGTCAAAATAGTTGCGATTTGACAAGCGCCGTGGCGAAGTTTGAGTCAATGCAACGGGTGACAGGCCAACAATATATATATATATACATATATTCATTATATATATAAATATAAATATAAATATGAATATAAATAAATAAATAAATAAAAATAAATAAATATATCAATAAATAAATAAATAAATATATATATATATATATATAGAGACTCGTATTCTTACTGCTGTCCAATGAATTACCAGGAAGCTGCCAGAGTTGTACAGCTCCGAAAATGGGTTACAGATAACATGTAGTGAGATAGGTGCCCCATGCTGCGGTGCAAATTTAGAAGCCGCAGAGTTTGGACGCAATTATAACAGCAGAGGATTAAGAGCGATAAGTCCCAGCAACAAAAGCTGTCCGTTTGCTTAATCCGTGTAACTTATTATCGGAGACTTTAAAGACGAAATGCTCAGTGAAGACGCGCGTCAGGCCAGCCACATACATGTTGTGGAGTTTCGCAGACCATGGTGATATGCTGTTGTAATGAATGGTGATGTGGCTTTGTCCCTTGTCCCTTGTCCCCAACTGTCCCCATGTCCCTGCCCCCAGTCCCCTAAGCGTCAGACCCTAAAAGTGTTGTGATGAATGGTGATGTTGCTTTGTCCCTTGTCCCTTGTCCCCAACTGTCCCCATGTGCCCGCCCCCTGTCCCCTAAGTGTTAAACCCTAAAGGTGTTGTAATGAATGGTGATGTGGCTTTGTCCTTGGCCCCTTGTCCCCAACTGTCCCCATGTCCCTGCCCCCAGTCCCCTAAGCGTCAGACCCTAAAAGTGTTGTGATGAATGGTGATGCGGCTTTGTCCCTTGTCCCTTGTCCCCAACTGTCCCCATGTCCCCGCCCCCTGTCCCCTAAGTGTTAAACCCTAAAGGTGTTGTAATGAATGGTGATGTTGCTTTGTCCCTTGTCCCTTGTCCCCAACTGTCCCCATGTCTCCGCCCCCGGCCCCCTAAGTGTCAGACCCCTAAAGGTGTTGTGATGAATGGTGATGCGGCTTTGTCCCTTGTCCCTTGTCCCCAACTGTCCCCATGTCCAACGTGATCCTCTGTGACCCATGCGTTGTGATTTAGGACCAAAGTGATCCCAATTTATGACCAAAGTGATCCCAACGTTTCCCCAGGTGATCCAAATATACCCGATAAAATGCCCGCAAACCGTGGGCCCGCAAGCCCGCGATGGGCCCGTATAATCTCGCGAGCCCGCGAGCCCGCGGTCCCGCGAGGGCCCGCGCTAGTCTTGGGCAATCAGGGGACCTGTCGGGAGAGCACGAAGTGCCGCACCTGCCACGCAAAAGGCACCGGCAGAGCGGCGGAGACGAAGGGACGCCATGTACATCCGACCCCTTGCAGAGCACCAAGTGCCGCACCTGCCACCGGCAGAGCGACGAGCGGCGGAGACCAAGGGATGCCAGGCCGTACATCCGACCCCTTGCAGAGCGCCAAGTGCCGCACCTGCGACGCAAAAGCCACCGGCAGAGCGGCAGAGACCAAGGGACGCCAGGGCGTACATCCGAGCCCTTGGCAGTGCACATTGTCCCACGCCTGCCACGCAAAAGCCACCGGCAGAGCGGCGGAGACGAAGGGACGCCAGGGCGTACATCCGACCCCTTGGCAGTGCACCAAGTCCCCACCATGCCACGCCAGAGCGGCGGAGACCAAGGGACGCCAGGGTGTACATCCGACCCCTTGGCAGTGCGCCAAGTCCCACACCTGCCACGCAAAAGCCACCGGCAGAGCGGCGGAGACCAAGGGACGCCAGGGCGTACATCCGACCCCTTGCAGACGCAAAAGCCACCGGCAGAGCAGCGGAGACCAAGGGACGCCAGAGCGTACATCGGACCCCTTGCAGAGCACCGCAAAAGCCACTGGCAGAGCGGCGGAGACCAAGCGACGCCAGGGCGTACATCCGACCCCTTGCAGAGCACCAAGTGCTGCGCCTGCCACGCAAAAGCCACCGGCAGAGCGGCGGAGACCAAGGGACGCCAGGGCGTACATCCGACCCCTTCCAGAGCACCAAGTGCCGCACCTGCCACGCAAAAGCCACCGGCAGAGCGGCGGAGACCAAGGGACGCCAGGGCGTACATCCGACCCCTTGCAGAGCACCAAGTGCCGCGCCTGCCAAGCAAAACCAAGGGACGCCAGGGCGTACATCCGACCCCTTCCAGAGCACCAAGTGCCGCACCTGCCACGCAAAAGCCACCGGCAGAGCGGCGGAGACCAAGGACGCCAGGGCGTACATCCGACCCCTTGCAGGAGGCACCAAGTGCCGCGCCTGCCAAGCAAAACCAAGTACATCCGACCAATTGCCGCGTTTGCCACGCAAAAGCCGCCGGCCAGGGCGTACGACCCCTTGCAGAGCACCAAGTGCCGCACCTGCCACGCAAAAGCTACCGGAGACCAAGGGACCCCAGGGTGTACATCCGACCCCTTGCAGAGCACCAAGTGCCACGCCTGCCACGCAAAAGAGTGAGTGAGTGAGTGAGCGAGCGAGCGAGCGAGCGAGTGAGTGAGTGAGAGGGAGGGAGGGAGGGAGTGAGTGATAGTGAGGGAGTGAGTGATAGTGAGTGAGTGAGTGAGTGATAGTGAATGAGTGATAGTGAGTGAGTGATAGTGAGTGAGTGATAGCGAGTGAGTGATAGTGAGTGAGTGATAGTGAGTGAGTGATAGCGAGTGAGTGATAGTGAGTGAGTGATAGCGAGTGAGTGATAGTGAGTGAGTGATAGCGAGTGAGCGAGTGAGCGAGCGAGTGAGTGAGTGAGTGAGTGAGTGAATGATAGTGAGTGAGTGATAGTGAGTGAGTGATAGTGAGTGAGTGATAGTGAGTGAGTGATAGTGAGTGAGTGAGTGAGTGAGTGAGTGATAGTGAGGGAGTGAGTGATAGTGAGTGAGTGAGTGAGTGATAGTGAATGAGTGATAGTGAGTGAGTGATAGTGAGTGAGTGATAGTGAGTGAGTGATAGTGAGTGAGTGATAGTGAGTGAGTGATAGTGAGGGAGTGATAGTGAGTGAGTGATAGTGAGTGAGTGATAGTGAGTGAGTGATAGTGAGTGAGTGATAGTGAGTGAGTGATAGTGAGTGAGTGATAGTGAGTGAGTGATAGTGAGTGAGTGATAGTGAGTGAGTGATAGTGAGTGAGTGATAGTGAGTGAGTGATAGCGAGTGAGTGATAGCGAGTGAGTGATAGCGAGTGAGTGATAGGGAGTGAGTGATAGTGAGTGAGTGATAGTGAGTGAGTGATAGCGAGTGAGTGATAGCGAGTGAGTGATAGTGAGTGAGTGAGTGAGTGAGTGAGGGAGTGAGTGAGTGAGTGAGTGAGTGATAGTGAGTGAGTGATAGTGAGTGAGTGATAGTGAGTGAGTGATAGTGAGTGAGTGATAGTGAGTGAGTGATAGTGAGTGAGTGATAGTGAGTGAGTGATAGTGAGTGAGTGATAGTGAGTGAGTGATAGTGAGTGAGTGAGTGATAGTGAGTGAGTGAGTGATAGTGAGTGAGTGAGTGCGTGCGTGAGTGAGTGAGTGCGTGCGTGAGTGAGTGAGTGCGTGCATGCGTGCTTGCATGCGTGAGTGAGTGAGTGAGTGATAGTGAGTGAGTGTGTGTGTGGACCATCTGTACAGATGTAAAACTTCTATCCGGTACTTCGGTGCACTTTTATTTTGTTATGGTTCATGATTTTCTGATTTCATTTTCATGCAGGGGGGCAGTGAATCTCATTCCATCCACTGCCCAACGAAGACGGTGGTTTGAGATTGTGATATCGGGACTGATCATCCCGACGTACCTGCAATTTCCAATTTTCAGTTTATCGTCCATGGCTACCGGCTAAGCCCAGAACCGGCATGTCGTTTCGTTTCCTTTTCTTCATAATGGACAAAGTTGCGTCAGAACCTTCCTCAGAGCAAGGACGCTGAAAACATACCTGGAACTTTGTTTCCACCTGTTTTCAAACCACTGTACGGTTTTCGCAATCTGATTTACTGCTGATTTCGTCAGATGAAACAGTTGCATCTAGCAAGGACGTAGAAAGAATTCCTCTTTATTGTTTCTCACGCCTAGTCATCCACTTTCTCCTGTCAGGCTTTACTGGATTGTTTTTTGCACGTGAGATGCATTCCACATCAGTAATTCGATAAGATGTTTCTGAGCAAGTGTGTCACTCATACCGTTGTCCGACAAGGTGGTATGAGCCCTTCGGGGAAAGCCTTTCTAGGCTAAAAATTGACGGTAAAACGATGTCTGAATTTACACTTTTGAATTAGTAATTCGTTTAAGTATTGTGAAACAGCCGTTCACCTTTCAGGTTTCACTCTGTCGGTCGAGTGAGTGTTGAAACTGCTTGCCGCAGTATTGGGCATCGCCTTTTCCATTTTCACCATGTTCTGCATAGCTGGAAGCCGCGACAACAACCTCCTTTTCCAGTGAAGCTCAAGCGCATTCCCGCAGCCATTTTGACATGAACA